CAAGGTGCAGAGCTGGATGAACACAGCAGGCCAAGCAGCATCAGAGGAGCAGAAAGGCTGACGTTTCGGGCCTAGACCCTTCATCAGAAATGTTATGGATTTGATTTCCCCGCCCAAAATCTCCTTTGACTACACTAGATTTGTTGAGCTGTAACAGGCACAGTGTGTGTTGTGATGAAACTTGTGTAATAATATATACTTTTGCAGTTTGAAGTTCAGGAAGCATGTTGAGGCTTTGTTTTGCTGTATATGCTGAGATCAATCGAATGGTCATGTGTTTAGATAACTTGTTTTTATTTCTTTAATATAATCTTCTTTTCTGTTGTTAAAGAAACTGCAGTTTGGTTTGAATGGGTTTGTATCTAACACCTACGGAAACTAACAAAAAAAGGTGATCTGTTGAGCTAGGTTTCATTGTGGGATTTGATTTGCCCAGTGTTACCATAAGTGTCTAGCTTCTGTTTTCAAAGAACAAGGAATATTAATTATATAGCTTCCGGTACACACAGACGTCGGGAATGGAGGGTTTGAGTTATAAGAACAGGCTGGAAAGACTGAACTTTTTTTCTCTGGAGTGTCAGAAGTTGAGGGGTTACCTTAGAGTTTTATAAAATCTTGAGGGGTGCAGATAAGGTAAATAGCAGGTATCTTTTCCCCAGAGTGTGGATTTCAAGACTAGGGGGCATATTTTTAAGAGGAGTGAGTGCAATGTGGAATTCTCACCCCAGAGCAAAACACTTCATCTTTTTGAGTTTGCCCTTTTAAAGTGATCACAGACAAAATTAACTTTGTTTCTTTGCTCTGATTGCAGTGAGAGCCATTGAAGGGAAGGATTATTCCAGTAAAATGGTGCACCTGGCAGCTGCTTGCAGGTTGAAGTTTGAACAAGAAATGAAGTGAGTATTTGTGGGACTGGGTAATAGACTCGTTTCCGATCACTTTATTACAGCCACTGTGCCCACCGCGTGCGCGCACACACATACCCCTCACCCCCCACCACGTTTTGCAGACTGAGCTCACTGTCTTGATGATGACTTTTGAACTTTGAGAGGCGTTCTTGAAGATATGAGATTGATGGAGAAAGCTAATTAAAGTTTGAGTCTATAGAGCATGTTTGAAACCGTTAAAACTCCCAAGAATGAACCAAAAAAATTCAGACTGAAGCAAAATTAGGTGATGTTAGGACCGGTGACCATGAGCTTGGTCAAGGTGAATTTTATGGAGCGTTTGAAAGAAGATTAACAAGCTGGCGGTTTGGGGAGGGCATCCCAGACATTGGGGCCCAGGCAACTGTATGTTGGGGGTGGGGGAGTGGGGAGCAGGGTTGGTGGAAAAACCAGGAGAGATTGTCAGGGGTCAGAATTACAGGAGCTCCAAAATCATAAGAACTAGGAGCAGGAGTAGGCCATCTGGCCCCTCGAGCCTGCCCACCATTTAATAAAATCATGGCTGATCTTTTTGAGACTCAGCTCCACTTACCCGCCCACTCACCATAACCCTTAATTCCTTTACTGTTCAAAAATTTATCTAGCCTTGCTTTAAAAACATTCAGCGAGGTAGCTTCAACTGCTTCACTGGGCAGGGAATTCCACAGATTCACAACCCTTTGGGTGAAGAAGTTCCTCCTGACCTCAGTCCTACATCTGCTTCCCTTTATTTTGAGGCGATGGCCTCTAGTCCTAGTTTCACCTGCTAGCGGAAACAACCTCCCTGCCTCCACTTCATCTATTCCCTTCATAATCTTATATGTTTCTATAAGATCTCCCTTCATTCTTCTGAATTCCAACGAGTATAATCCCAGTCTACTCAGTCTCTCCTCATAATCCAACCCTCTCAACTCTGGAATCAACCGAGTGAATCTCCTCTGCACCCCCTCCAGTGCTAGTATATCTCTTCTCAAGTACGGAGACCAAAACTGCACACAGTACTCCAGGTGTGGCCTCACCAGGACCCTATGCAGCTGCAGCATAGCCTCCCTGTTTTTAAACTCCATCCCTCGAGCAATGGCAGACAAAATTCCATTTGCCTTTTTAATTACCTGCTGCACCTGCAATCCCACCTTCAGCGATTCATGCACAAGGACACCCAAGTCCCTCTGCACAGCAGCGTGCTGCAATTTTTTACCATTTAAAACATACTCCATTTTGCTGTTATTCCTACCAAAATGGATGACCTCAAACTTATCAACATTGTACTCCATCTGCCAGACCTTTGCCCACTCACTTAGACTATCTATATCCCTCTGCAGACTTTCAGTGTCTTCTGCACATTTTGCTCTACCACTCACCTTAGTGTCATCTGCAAATTTTGACACACCACACTTCATCCCCAACTCCAAATCATCTATGTAAATTGTAAACAATTGAAGTCCCAACACTGATCCCTGAGGCACACCACTAGCCACTGTCCACCAACCAGAAAAACACCCATTTACCCCTACTCTTTGCTTTCTACTGGTCAACCAATCCTCTATCCATGCCAATACATTACCTGTAATACCGTGCAACTTTATCTTATGTAGCAGCCTTTGGTGTGGCACCCTGTCAAATGCCTTCTGGAAATCCAGAAGGAAGCAGGGAGGACAAACGTGTCGGGGGGAGCTCCCTTATTCAAAGGCATTCCGAGAGTCGTTACACTCCCTCCTCCCCTGTCATTCCCCTCCATCTCCCCTGCCCCAAGGCCCCACTCAAAAGCCACTCCACCTCATCTCCCCCCCCCACCTCCTCCATGTCCTTCCTTGACCACACTCTCCCAGTATGAGGATCCCAATTAGTGTTGGAGGAGCCTCACCCAGTGCCTTTGTCCAATAGGTATGATGTTCTTGCTCCTGCTGTTGAGGGCACAGACTGAGGAGAGAGTGAGGGAACTGACCTCTGTACCCTGGGGGAAGAGGAGAAATGGTGTGGCAATAATGGAGAGCATAGTTCAGGAATGGACACGTATTTCTCCAGCAGACTGAGGGTCCCAAAGGCTGTGTTGCATTACCTGGTGCCCTGTTTCAGGACATCTGTTGGAGTAAGTCGGGAAGGAGCCCATTATCATGGTCTGTGTAGGTACCAATGACAGAACACTAGGAAGGAGTTTCTGCTGAGGAACTGTGAGCAGCTAAATTCAAAAGTGGAGCCATAAGCATGATATTCTTTGGATTACTACTCGAGCCATGTGCAAATTGGCATGGAGTGAATTATATTAGAGACATGATTCTGTGGCTTAAAGATGGATGAGTGAGAAATGGATTCCAATTTGTGAGGCACTGGCACCACTACTGGGGCAAGAAGAAGCTGTTGCATTGAGATGAGATTCATTTGAACCATGCTGAGGGCCAGGGTCCTGCTGAATCAGATAAGAGTTGTAGTTAAGACTTTAAACTTATGGAGGGGAGAATTCAATTGAAGGGAAGTTTTAAAAAACAAAACAAAAGAAAAGAGAGCAGATGTGCAGGCTAATGAAGAGGCAAATGATAATCAAAGTCTGACAGGAAAATTAAGAAAATACAAATAGCAGAAATTTGATCCAGAAACAGTGGTAATGGTAAAAATTCAAAGCTACATGTTGTTTATCTGATGCATGTAGCGTTTGTAAGATGATGGATGAGTTGACGGCACCAATAGCTATCAGGTCATATTCATTTATTTCTACTGGAGAGACATGGTTACAAGGTGACCAAGACGGTGAATGCAATGTTCATGGTATTCGATGTTCCAAAAGAAAGGAGATGGGGTAGCTTTGTTAAAAAAGCACAGCCTGAGTGCAGTGTAGTGGGCCGTGATATCAGTGCAGTAGATTGTGATGTGGAATCAGTGTGGGTAGAAATAACGAGAAAGAAATCACTCATGAGCGTCATCTAAATGCCCCAAAGAGTTGCCTCAGTGTAGACAAAGTATATATCAGGAAATGATGGAAGTTTTGAAAAAAGGCACTTTTTGTCATGGGTGATTTTAATGTGCATTACAACTTCACAAATCCGATGCAAAAGGGTAACATGGAAGATGAATTTGTATAGTGTATCAGGAATTGTTTCTTAAAGCACTATGTTGCAAAACTTACCTGGAACGTGGCTATTTCCGATCTAATGATGTGTAATGCAGTAGGATTAATAAGAAATCTTTGTAATTAAGGATCCTCCTAGGAGACAGCGATCACAACAGATAAAATTTCAAATTCCGTTTGAGGGAGAGCAAATTGGGTCTCTACCCAGGAAATAAGACAAATTACAGAGTTACAAAGAAAGGTGTCTAACATGGGTTGTGACATTGGAGTAAAGGGAAAGCTCAGGCGATAAGCAGAGGCAGATATTTCAGAACACTTAGCAAAAATTGATTCCAGTCAAAAGGAAGGACTCTGAGTGGGATGAAGCACCCATGGGTGACGAAGACAGTTAATCAGAGTATGCAAAGTGGTGAAGGTTAATGGTAGGTAAGAGGACTGGGGCAGCAGTGGATGATGAAAACAACTAATAAAAAGGGAGAAAATTGAATCCTGAAGTAAATTGGCAAGTAAACTAAACAAACAGCAAGAGCTTCAACAGGTACATTAGAAAGAGAGAGAATGGCTAAAGTAAGTGTGAGACCTTCAGAGAATGAAAATTGGGAATTAATAATGGAGAACAAGGAAATGGCAGATAATTTTAAACCAATATTTTGCATTGGTCTTTGTGGTGGAGGACACTTTAAATATCCGTAAAATTTAGATTGGCAACAGCTAATGGGAGGAAAGATTTTGTAACAGTCTGTATCACAAGGGGCAGTGCATTTGATAAACTCATGGGACTGAAGTCAGACAAGTCACTAGGTCTTGCGCTGATGGCTGTTTTCAAGGCTGTTAAAGGAAGTGGCTGAAGAGATGGCTGAGGCATTGGTCAAAATATTCCAGAACTCACTAGATTTCAGGAGGGTTCCAGTAGATTCTCAAACGGCTGATGTGACAGCCCTGTTAAGGAGGGAGGCAGACAGGAAGCAGGAAACTGTAGGCCAGTTACTCTAATGTCTGTCAGTGAGAAAATGCTAGTATCCATTATTAAAGAAGAAATAGCAGAGTATTTAGAAAAGCTTATGCAATCTAATGGAATCGGTGTGGTTTGTGAAACAGAAATGACATTTGACAAATTTCCAGAGTTCTTTGAAGATATAACAAGCAGAGTCGATAAAGGGGAACTGGTAAATATAGTGTATTTGGAATGTATTTGATAAGGTGCCACATAAAAGGTTATTGTCCAAGATAGAAGTGTTCAGTATTCATAGAATCCCTATGATGTGGGAGCAGGCCATTCAGCCCATTGAGTCACACTGACTCCTCTGAAGAGCATCCTACCCAGATCCCATGCTATCCTGTAACCCTGCAATTCCCATGGCTAATTCACCTAACCTGCAAATCTCCGTTAGGAAACGGAAGCACCCAGAGGAAACCCATGCAGACACGGGGAGAATATGCAAACTCCACACAGTCGCCCAAGGGTGGGATCGAACTGGGTCCCTGGTGCTGTGAGGTAGCAGTGCTAACCACTGAGCCACCATGCTGCCTGAGCGCAGTGTTGGGGATAACGTATTAAATACATCAGAGATATTATTACACACCTCCTGGAGTAGGTGGGAATTGAACCCTGGCCCAGAGGTGGGGATGGTACCACTGTGCCACAAGGGTCCTGTGGTGGGAATAATATATTAGCATGAATTGCTGATTGGGTAACACACAGACAGAGTTAACATTAATGGGTCTTTTTCAGATTGGAGAGACACAACTACTGGAGTTCCATAAGGAGCAGTCTTAGGCTTCAATTATTTAACCTCTGTATTAATGACTTGCTTCCACATTGGCAGGGTAGACTCCATCGCCACCCTTCAGACAGGAGCCATCAACCCTATCAGAGAGGGAGAAAAGTTTAAAAGTGAAATCCAGGGCTAAGAGCCCAAATTGCTGAAGCCAATGGAGTGAAGTGGTTCATGATTAATCCAAAGGCAGAGATTTTTTGTTTTGGGGTGAGTTTGGAGTCTCTGGTTTTAATTCATGTGGCTGTTTATTTTCAATTTCTGTTTAGGAAAATCTCTTTGTGGAGCCCAAGAAGACATTGCCGAAAACCCCGGTGAAAAATATCTCCACACCAAGCGCTATGCGGTGGAGGGGATGCAGCACCCCAGATCAAGATCAGGTGACTCCAGTTAAACACAGTGACAAATCATTGGCCGAGCCTTGGTCACCCACTGCCAACCTAAAGATGCTCATCAGTGCTGCAAGCCCTGACATCAGGGACCGGGAGAAGAGAAAGGAGCTGTTCCGGCAGATCGAAAATGACAGGCTTGTGAGTATCAACAATGTCATTCCGTTGACAGCTTTCCCGTTCGGGGCTTTCCTCAGCATTTCCCCCTGCACCACCCCCTTCCCTGTTCTCCCCCACCCCACAGCCCATTTTCTTAATCCCCCCCCTCGTCTTCTGTCTACTAAATGGGACAGACTAGCAACTCAAGACTGGGCATCCATGAGATGCTGTGGGCCATCAACAGCAGCAGAATTGCACTCCAGCACAATCTGTAACCTCATGGCCCGGCATATCCCCCACTCAACCATTACCATCAAGCCAGGGGATCAACCCTGGTTCAATGGAGAGTGCAGGAGGGCATGCCAGGAGCAGCACCAAACTAGAAACGTAGAATCCCTACAGTGTGGAAGCAGGCCATTTGGCCCATCAAGTCCACAATGATTGTCCGAAGAACGTTCCAGCCAGACCCAATCTGGCATCAAGGAGTCCAAACAAACCTGGAATCAATGGGTAAAGGGGGCAAACTCTCTGTCAGTTGGAGTCATACCTGAGACATAAGAAGATGGTCGTGGTTATTGGAGGCCAGTCATCCCAGCTCCAGGACATCTCTGCAGGAGTTCCTCAGGGTAGTGTCCTAGGGCCAACCATCTTCAGTTACTTCATCAATGACCTTCCCTTCATCATAAGGTCAGAAGTGGGGATGTTCGCCGATGATTGCACAATGTTCAGCACCATTCGTGACTCCTCAGATACTGAAGCAGTCCATGTTCAAATGCAACAAGATCTGGACAATATTTAGGTTTGGGCTGACAAATTGTAAGTGACATTCGTGCCACACAAAGGCCAGACAATGACTGTCTCCAATAAGAGACAATCTAACTGCTGACATGACATTCAATGGTGTCACCATCACTGAATCCCCCACAATCAACATCCTGGGGGTTACCATTAACCAGAAACTCAACTCGACTCCCCATGGGACTCCCCATGGGAACTCCCCATTCCCAGAGGCTGGGAATACTGTGGCAAGTAACTCCCCAAAGCCTGTCCATCATCTACAAGGTACAAGTCAGGAGTGTGATGGAATACTCCCCACTAAATTAGCAAGAAATAGTAAACATCTAGAAAAGCTTCATGTAACAGAGTCAGTGTGGTTTTATGAAAGGGAAATGATGTTAGACAAATTTGCTTGATTTCTTTGAGGATATAACAAGCAGAATTGATAAAGGGAAACAGTTCGACTTGGCATACTTGATTTTCCAGAAGGTGTCACACAAAAGGAGCAATATTGGAGCTCGTGATGTTGGGCATGTGTCATCTATTAGCATAGAGAAAGGATTGGTTGATACATAGATGGCAGAGGGAGAGAATTAATGGGCCTCTTTCAGTTTGGAAAGACTTAACTAAGTGGACTGTCACAAGGATCAGTCCTCGGGCTTTGATTATTGACTATCTGTTATTAATGAGTTGGAAAAGGGAGTGTCTCCAAGTTTGCTGACGGTACAAGGGCATGCTCTGAGGAGGTCATACGAAATCTGCAAGAGGGTTTTGATAGGTTGCCTGAGTGTAGGGAAGTGTGAGGTCATGCGCTTTGGTCGGAAGATCCAAAAGACAGACTAATATTTAAAGGGAGAGACACTCCCAAAAGGTGCAGTGCAGATGGATCTAGTGCGTGAAACACAGATGGTTGGAATAGGGCTGCTCTCTGAGAGAGACAGACAACAGATGGGGGTTTAACCTACAGGTGTCAGGATAACCTTTCACCTCATGAGGTAAGAAGGAGGGTCCTTCATGGTAACCTTAGGCAGTGTGCAGGAATCCAACCCAAGCTATTGGCATCACACTGAATCCCAAACCAGCCCTCCACCCAACTGAGCTAACCTGAATTTCCCGCTGGATCTGTTAATGACCATGCTGTTCCTGACCTTTGTTTTTGGTCTCCCCTTTTCTCTGCCTACCCTGTTATTACTTTGTAAACTTCAGCCCCTCGGTGTTCTGCCTTCTAGAAGCTTGCCTCCTTTGATTCCTTTCAAGGTTTTGATCAAAGCTAATTTTTCTTTTGGTGCTGGACTGGGAGGTTGAGACTGTCCAAAGGAGTTCCTGACCCGCAGTTGGAGACGGTGTAATGTACAAACAGGTTCTTTCTTTTACCTCCAGCTCCGCTCGATCAATGAAGCAGCCACAAATGAATTTGAACAACAGCGGCCAAGTAGGAAACAAAAAAGCCTGGGGCTTCTGTGCCAGAAATTCCTGGCCCGTTATCCTAATTATCCCATTTCCACTGAAAAAACAGAAATTTCCCTGGATGAAGTGGCAACTGAACTCGGTGAGTGTGTCATGGAGGGAGGGTGAAAATTAAATGGGAGGGTGTGGGCTAGACTCTGGTGAAAGAGTAGAGAGCTCGATGTTAGATTTATCCCTGCCCTTCAACTCAGACCAGGTTTCTGCAATTAGTGGCATGTGAGCTGAGCAGAGGTATCTGAAGTTTGAGTGAACAAGGAGGTATCTCTTAACTGACAAGATTGAGGAATTGGGAAATTGAGTAGAGGAAGTGAAAATGTCACAGGAAGTGCGTCAATGTTTATCCTTCAAGCAGGGTCACTCTAAACTGATTGTCTCAGTCACTATCTTGTTGCTGTTTGTGTACAAAATGACTTCAGCATTGCATGTATTCCAATAGTGACTGTCTCAAGTGTTTTGTTGGCTGTGTACCAAGATATTAAGAACAGTAGAGCACAGGAATAGGCCCTTTGGCCCACCAAGACTATGCTGAGATATGATGCCTTTCTAAACTAAAAACCTTTTACCTCCATGCGATCCATATCCCCCTATTTCTTGCTTATTCCTATATCTGTCAAGATATCTCTTAAACGTTGCTATTGTATCCACCTCCATCGCCTCTTCCCCAGTGCACTCCAGGCACTTAACACCCTCTGTGTAAAAAGAACCTGCCTCTCGATCTCCTTTAAACTCACCATGTTTTACCTTAAACCTATGTCCCACAGTATTTGACATTTCTACCCTGGTTAAAAGACTCAGACTATCCATTCTACCCATGCCCCTCATAATCTTGTAAATCTCTACCAGGCCGCCCTTCTAGCTCTTTAGGATGTCCTGAAGCCATGAATGGTGCTACATAAATACAATCCTTTTTAAAGTAGAACTGAGTCAATTCAATATCGTATCGGGAGCGGAGGGTGAGAAAGGAAACCCACATGTATGTTTTTAAAATCTCTCCCAACATCTCCACAACTAGCAGGCTTAGACTCCACACTTGTCAAATGTTATCTTTTAGTGCCAAGTGGTCAGTTAGCCATTGTTAAATCTTACCACGGGGTTTAAAAGGCGAGAGGACAGTGTATCTGCGGCACCAGTGCAGGGACCTCTGCTGTGCTCGGTTTGTCGATGCTGAGGTAGAGACAGTGAGATGTTGATTTTTGTACAGAACCCTGTACCAGCCTCTCCCTCGCGCGCTCTCTCCCTCCCTCCTGAGGTTGCTGCACAGTTTGCAGAGGTATAGTCAGCGACAGCTTCACTGTGAATATAGGACCAGCATCTACACTCTGTCTAACAGCTAGGGACTGAATTTTGCTTCCTCAGGAGTGGAACGCAGACGTATTTACGATATTGTAAACGTCTTGGAGTCTCTTCAGCTCGTCAGCCGAATGGCGAAGAACCAGTATTCCTGGAATGGCATGTTGGGGCTTGAGCAAACACTGGCCACATTAAAGAGGAGGGGAGAACAACACGGCTATGCCAAGCAGCTGGCCCTTGCTCGCCACAAGGAGCTGGACTCTGAGGAAGCGGAGAAGGGAGATGTTGCCCAAGAAAGGTGGAGCTGCTGCTGGGAGCTGAACAGGGAAACCCAGCCTGTGGAGGTGGAGAATAAATCGGGTAAGATTGTTGTGCACTGGTGCAATCAGAAAACCATTTTCGCTGCACCTTCAGACTGCATCACCTTGGTTGCTGTATTCGGTCTGTATGATCACAGTTGCTGAACAGTTAGTAGGAGTTGACCTTTTGAGTCTATTCCATTGTTCGGTGAGATCGTGGTTGATCTATTGCAATTCCACTCTCCCCTTCGATTCCCTCTGGCTACAGCCACTACCTGCACTTGCTGCATACTTCCAGCATCATCTACATTTGTTCCCAGCAGCAGCAGTCACTAAAACAAATCATTTAGCTCGTTATCTTATTGCTGGTGTTTGGGATCCTGCTGTGCAGAAAATGGCTGCTGCGTTTCCTACAGTGCAACAGTGACAGCTGTTGAAAAATTTATGCCATTGAAATTAATCGCCATGGTCACTCTGAGCTCCAGATTGGTTTGCTGCTGGTGTTTGTGGTGTCACCAGGTCCCAGCTGGTATCGAACATTCCTCACTAGACAGAGGACCGTGACTGTGCCTCAGGTTGTGATCTGCTGCTCTCTGCTGGCTGTGCAGTGAACAGCAACTGACTTCACTCTTGCCTCTCCAATGCAATTTATAAATATCCTTTTTCCTATTCGACAACATACCCAATCTGAAGGAGTTGAAGCCTTTGTCTGCCTCGTTAGTGCTTTATTTTTTCACTCTTTTTCTCTCTCAGCTTCAATGAATAGGAGGAAGGACAAGTCTCTGCGGATCATGACTGAGAAATTTGTGATGCTTTTCCTTGTATCGGAACCAGAAACAGTGGCTCTCGATATTGCTGCTAAAATCCTGATTGAAGAGAGTCAGCAGGACTCAGCTGATAACAGCAAGTTTAAAAGTAAGTAAAACAAAAGCAAACTTATACTTGCTTACTGGAAATCAGAAATGAAACATTATGGAAAAAATTCACCCACATCAGCGGGGAGAGAAACTGAGTTACCAAATTAAGATGACGGGTGATCATTGAGTGGGAATATTAACACTGCTTCTCTCTCTGAAGATAACAGACAGACCTGCTGAGTATTTCCAGTGTTTTCTGTTCAGCTTCTAGTCGTGGCTGAACTTTTACCTATAGTTTTCATGTCCATATTCACTCTTGATCTACATTCTGTCGAATGTCTTTTCTTTGCTGTTTTCTTTCCAGCAGTTTTTGCTTATAATTTACATGAAAAGTTGGTTGAGTTGTGCTAAAATGGTGAGTGTACATGTTTAAACACCCTGTTCAAAGTGAGCAGTCTGAAATTGGAGGTTAACTACTTTGAGTGTTCTTCGCTAATGCTGGCCATTGCCACGAATGGATGGAGTTTAAACGCAGTAACTCTGTCTTTGTCTTTGTGTTTCTCATCTGAGGCTGATCAACCTCCCCTTCTTCACTTTCCCTACATATCCCTTGATTTCCTCAATACTCCATCAAAGATCTATCTTCATTTTCTTGATCATGTTCACTGAGTGAGTGTCCACTGCTGTCTGGGATAGAGAATTCCAAACATTCACTACCCTCTGAGTGAAAAGATCTCTCCTCCTTTTGGTCCCAAATGATCAAACCCCTTATCTTTATTTTAAGTCCTTGATGTTCTAGATCCCTCCAGCCAATGAGAGCACTCTCACTGAATGCCCTGTCAGGCCTCTTCATCCTGTTTCAGAGATTGCTGTAGATCTTGGGGTGATTTTGGTGGAGCAGAACTTCATGAAGACATTAGCTGCAGTCTGAAAGGGCCCCTGATGTTATCCTCTGGTAATGCAGTTGTGTCGAGCTTTCTGATGTGAAATTACCGAGGCTGCTATTCTTCCTATCTCCTCCTCTGCTCACTTTGTCCTTTTGTCCTCCTATTTGTTTGGTAAACTCCAGTCGACATTGTTACTGATGTTCCTTGGTGTACAGGCTGCAGCATCATGAAATCAAACTATGCCAATGGTCTTGGAGTGCAACACTGCACCCACCCCCCTCTCCATTCTCAAACTTGAGTATTTGATCCACCACAGCCTGAGTGTGTCTGTGGTCTATCCAATTTCAGAATCACATCAGATGTTGGACACTGTGCTGTGGGCATTGCAAGCTCAGCCTGGTTGGGTACTGCTTGCAAACAGCCCATGGGGACACTGATGCAATTCACTGGTTTTTGCAGCTTTACTATGTTGGAAATAATCAAGCAGGAGGAGGTTGGCTGTCCCTTCCACTGAGGTGACTTTTCTTACGGAATCCAACAAAGATGGTTATTGAGCAGGGATCCCGTGGCAGCACCATCTGGTTACATCAGAGGTGTCATTGAAATTGAACCCGACTACATGAGCTGTTGAGACCATAAGAAATAGGAGCAGAATTACTTCACTCTGAGGCTGTGCCCTTGGGTCCTAGTCTGTCTAAGTGGATACATGTTCTCTACATCCACTCTATCCAGGTCTCTCAGTACTCTGTAAGTTTCGATCAGATCTCTCCTTATCCTATAAACTCCATTGAGTACAGACCCAGAGTCTTCAACCACTACTCGTATGACAAGCCCTTGAACCCCAGGATCATTCTTTAAACCTCCTCTGGACCCCCTCCAATGCCAGTACATCCTCCCTTAGATACAGGGCCCAAAATTGCTTATAATAATCCAAATGCAGTCTAACCAGAGCCCTATACAGCCTCAACAGTACATCTCTGCTTATGTATTTTAGCCCTCTCGAAATGACTGCTAACACTGTATTTACCTCCCTAACTGCCAACTGAACCTGCATGTTAACATTAAAAAAATTCTGAACTAGGACTCCCAAGTCCCTTTGTGCTTCAGATTTCCAAAACCATTCCCCACTTAGATATTAGTGTACACCTCTATCCTTCCTACCAAAGTGCATAACCTTTCACTTTCCCTCATTGCATTCCATCTGCCACTTCTTTACCCCCACTCTTGGCCTGTCCAAGGCCTTCTGCAGCCTCCCCACTTTGTCAACACTGACCTGCCCCTCCACCTATCGTTGTGTCATCTGCAAATGTGGCCCTCACTTCCTTTGTCCAGATAGCTAATGTATAATATGAATAGTTGTGGTCTCAATCCTGACTGGCAGACTAGTCACCAGTTGCCATCCTGAAAAAGACCCCTTTATTCCCACTCTCTGCCTTCTGCTAGCCTGCCAATCCTCTATCCATCCCAGTACTTTGCCCCTAACACTATGGGCCCTTATCTTATTTAGCAACTTCCTGTGCAACATCTTGTCAAACGTCTTCAGGAAATCCAAACAAATCACATCCACTGGCTCCCCTTTGTCTAACTTGCTTGTTAACCTCCTCAAAGAATTCTAACAGATTTGTCAGGCATGACCTCCCCTTTTTGAAGCCGTGCTGACTAGCCCTATTTTACCATACACTTCCAAGTACTCCCCAATCCCATCCTTAATAATGGACTCTCAAATCTTACCAATTACCAACATCAGGCCAACTGGCCTATGGTTTCCTGTCTTCTGCCTCCCTTCCTTTTGAAACAGGGTGTTACATTAGCCACTTTCCAGTCCTCTGGGACCCTCCCTGACTCCAGTAATTCCCAAAGGATCACTACCAATGCCTCTACAATCTCCTTCGCTGTCTCCTTCAGAACTCTGGGATGTAGTCCGGGTGATTTATCCCCCTTCAGACCTTTCAGTCTCCACAGCACTCACCTCTGCCCTGTGACTCTCGAAGTTCTGGTTTGCTGTTGGTGTCTTCCACTGTATGTTGGGTGAATACTGACTCTCGCAGTGCTATCGTCTGTAAGTTATTGTGACCTGTTGTTGCAGTGCGGGTGTGTGCCCTCCTTGTGTGGTAGAACAGCACAGTGTCTAACATTACGTGTGATTCCGCAAGTCAATAACCTTTTCCTGAGGGTATGAAGAATTAAACTGAGAACTGAATTGGAATTGTGTTCTGTGTGGTGCACTGTTTTCTGGAAGCTACATACTTTAATACGCAGGGCAGACAGACAGACAGAACGTGTACACACTGCGCCTGTTTCAATTCAACTAAGTAGGTGACGCTGTTTTGCACTTCATTCCTCAGGGCAATGCCTTGACCAACTGGAGTTTGTTTTGCCTTGTTTATAACTTAAAGCCTGGCAGTTAATTGTCTGTCATCATCACTGGGTGCACTCTCCAGAGCAATGTCTCTGAGTCCACTTACCAACCATTCAGGATCCTCCCACACAGCACAAATGTTGGTTATTTGGTATTCTTGCAAGTTGTTCTGATCACTGCCACTCAATGTGCCTTAATAAGATGTCCTTTTTCTTCAGAAATACCTGTCCATTTTATCAAACAACTCTTTTTCATGCCAACTTTTCCATGTTTGTTTTCCTTTCCAGCTAAGATCCGCAGACTCTATGACATAGCCAACGTGTTGACCAGTTTGGGACTCATCAAGAAGGTTCATGTGACTGAAGAGAAGGGCCGGAAGCCAGCGTTCAAATGGGTTGGGCCTGTCTATCAGAACCAGGCAAATGGTGAGGGTGGCACAGTGCCATCTGTTGTTAACAAGCATTGCATTCAGTGAAGACTTGGAACAGATACTCTGTCCCCCTACCCTCGCCCCCACCCAGCCACCACATCCTCACCCCAAAACCAGAATACACACACATGTGCATGCGCGTGCACCATCCCCTTGAACCCATTCTGACGTTACATTTGGTCATTGATTAATCTGAATCTGAGCTAAAGATGGATAAATCCCTGGGACATGATCAGGTGTACCCTAGAACTCTGTGGGAAGCTAGGGAAGTGATTGCTGGGCCCCTTGCTGAGATATTTGTGTCATCAATAGCCACAGGTGAGGTGCCAGAAGACTGGAGGTTGGCTAATGTGGTGCCACTATTTAAGAAAGGTGGGAAGGAAAAGCCAGGGAACTATAGACCGGTGAGCCTGTCATCAGTGGTGAGTAAGTTATTGGAGAGTATCCTGAGGGACAGGATTTACATAAATTTGGAAAGGCAAGGTCTGATTAAAGATGGTCAACATGGCTTTGTGCGTGGGAAATCATGCCTCACTAACTTGATTGAGTGTTTTGAAGATTGCTGAAGGCAGAGCGGTGGACATTTTCTATACAGACCTCATTAAGGCATTTGACAAGGTTCCACATGGTAGACTGGTTAGCAAGGTTAGATTGCATGGAATCCAGGGGAGCCAGCCAATTTGGATACAAAACTGGCTCGAAGGTAGGAGTCAGAAGGTGGTGGAGGGTTGCTTTTCAGACAGGAGGCTTGTGACCAGCGGTGTGCTGCAAGGATTGGTGCTGGGTCCACTGTTTTTTGTCATTTATATAAATGATTTGGATGTGAACACAGGGGGTATGGTTAGTAAGCTAGAAGATACCACCAATTTTGGTGCTTAGTGGAGAGCAAAGCAGGTTACCTCAGAGTACTACAAGACCTTGATCAGATGGACCAATGGGCTGAGGAGTTTAATTTAGATAAATGTGATGTGCTGCATTTTGGAAAAACAAATCAGGGTAGGACTTATACACTTAATGATAGGGTCCTAGAAAGTGAGGCTGAACAAAGAGACCTTGCTGTGCAGGATCAGAGTTCCTTGAAAGTGGAGTCGCAGGGAGACAGGGCATTGAAGAAGGTGTTTGGTACGCTTGCCTTTATTGGTCAGTGCATTGAGTATAGGAGTTGGGAGGTCATGTGGCTGTACAGGACATTGATTAGACCACTTTTGGAATACTGTGTGCAATTCTGGTTTCCCTGCTATGGGAAGGATGTCGTGAAACTTGAAAGTGTCTAGAAGATATTTACGAGGATGTTGCCAAGGTTGGATGGTTTGAGCTATAGGGAGAGGTTGAATAGGTTGGGGCTATTTTCCCTGGAGTGTCAGAGACTGAGGGGTGACCTTATAGAGGTTTGTAAAATCATGACGGGCATGGATGCAGTGAAGAGCCAAGGTCTTTTCCCCAGGGTTGGGGGAAGTCTAAAATCAGAGGGCGATGGTTTAATGTGAGCGGGGACAAATTTAAAAGGGACTTAAGGGACAACTTTTCCACGCAGAGGGTGGTGTGTGTATGGAACGAGCTGGCAGAGGAAGTGGTGGAGGCTGGTACAATGACAACATTTAAAGGCATCTGGATGGGTAGATGAACAGGAAGGGTTTAGAGGGATATGGGCCAAATGCTGGCAAATGGGACTAGATTAATTTAGGATATCTGGTCAGCATGGACGAGTTAGACCAAAGGGTCTGTTTCCGTGCTGTACATTGAGTTTGTGACTTTGAGCTCCATCATTTACAATCATTTTGTAACCGATCAAAATTTCATTAACCTCCGATCTCTCATTTTCAGTGGGAGCCATGGAATGGTTTATGGAAGTTTTGTTGACGATGAGTGTGGGGTGTTAGTAATACCTCAGTCAAAGGAGAGAATTGATGATGTACAATTCACTGTCAGTAACCTGAAAATAACAAACATGGATGTTTAATTATTTCCTCATGCTTCACAACCCTCTGAGCTCTCTTGGGTATCCTCCTCACTCTTTCAGTTCCCATCACATCGCCATCAGTGGCAGTGTTTTCACCAGCCTGGGATCTGAGCTTGGGTATCCCCTCCCTGACTCCTCCTGTGTCTCTCCCACACTTACTGTCTTCCACCAAGATCTTCGAAAGCTGCTTCATTAACGAAGCTTTGAGTCTAATACCTCCTCCTGAGGCTTGGTGTTTGAGAATTGCTCTGGGGAGATCCATGTGATGTTTCTCTACGTTAATGGTGCTATATAAATGCATGTTGGTTGCTGTAAGTTTCAACTAGGAGTTTCCCTCCAGGCAAATGTTGGAATGAAGTTTTCTGTTGAATTCTGCAGGTTTTCCGGATCATTCTGTCTCCTTATCAGCACCAACATGTTCATCAGAGAGTGTGTTTCCGGTCACAAAGGACAGGTTGGAATGTTCTGCTTCATTCAATACTCAACACGGTTCCCATGCTGACCAGTTAAAGGCTCAGTCTGCTCCTTGCAGCCCTGCTAAGTTTCAGACAGGTTTGTGTCTTAATGAAATGATGACCGGTACCTACAGCAATGCAGACTCCCAGCCCGTGTGAGCGAGCCCTCGCACCTAAATCACCTTGACTTTTTCCCAAATCTCTCAGCTGCTCACCTGCCCTGGGATCCAGGGACAGGAGGAGGCCATTCACGGAAACATAGAAAGTAGGGGTGGGAATACAATGTTTTTATGTTCTTGAAAGTGAAGACAGAAACGATATACTTGTTTGCTGTCTCCACTATTTCCTTATTATCTCCTCAACTCCTGATTCTCGCTCCCTGGTGGGCTAACACTCACTTTACATACTCTTTTCCTGTATTAAATATCTAAAAACTTTCTATCTAATTACATTCCTACCTTGTTTCCTCTCATTCTTAATTTTTCTCCTAATTAATGTTGCCGTCATTCTCGGCCATCCTTCATATTCTGTCCAAACTCTGACCTGTTACTCATTTTTGTACAATTAAAAGCCTCTTTAAGTTTGATGCTTTCTTAACTCCTCTAATTAACTGCCCAATGTGGATCCTTTCCTCAGAATTATTCTTTAACGTAGGTACAGTGTATTCTGAAAGATCCCCTTAAATGTCTGTCACTGTGAGTCTAATATCCCATTTCATTTCAGCTAACTCTGCTTTAATGCAGTCATTTAAGTTTCAGTTACTCATTTTAGACCAACTTTTCTCCCTCTTCATGCTACTGAAAATTCAGTCATATTGTGCACACTTACCACAAGTTATTTTTAGAACCAAGAACAGTACAGCACAGGAACAGGCCCTTCAGCCCACCAAACCTGCACTGACACGTGATGCCTTTCTAAACTAGAAACCTTTTGCCTCCGTGTGGTCCATAAACCTCTATTCGCTGCATATTCATGTTTCTGTCGAGATGCTTCTTAAGTGTTGCTGTTGTATCTGCCTCCATCGCCTCTGGCAGCACATTCCAGCCTCTTACCACCCTCAGTATAAATAAATCTACCTCTCCTGCCTAGTAATCGACATTTCTACCCTGGGAAAAAGCCTCCGACTATCCATTCAATCCATGCTACTCGTAATTTTATAAAATTATATCAGGTTGCCCATAATCCTTTTAACGTTCAAGTGAAAACAAACCAAGTTTGTCTAATCTCTCCTCATAGGTAATACCCTCCAAACCAGGCAACATCCTGGTAAGGGAGATAACAAGGTGTAGAGCTGGATGAACACA